CAGTAGTTTCTTTTTATACAGTTTCTCGGTTATAATTGTTATTTCTTATAACATTTAGCACAAAAGATCAGGTATAGTTAGCAATTTGGGTCAGAGGTAGAAGCGGCTAGAGCCAGGCTGGTGTAAAATCTTCGACGGTTTCTCGGCGATAATATTTCTCAGTCTTAATCAAGTTCAGAACAACAGAGCTTGCTTAACAGTTTGGGTAGAGTGAGGCAGAGCCTGCCTTGTCCCCAGGGCTGTAGACATTTATAGTTTAGCCAGCTAGCACGGGGTGAGGTGGAGCTCTGCTGCACTGGCTGCCCCATGGCTAGCCATGTGTCTAAGGCTGTTGGCAAACTCCAGAAGAAAACGATTTAATTATATCGTTTGAAAGCCTGAAATCAAGCCTTGCTGCCCAAAATAAACCGGCGAAGTCGCACAACTTCACCCCCTATGTATCAGACAGCGAATTCGGGAACCAGCCGCACCTGAGGCTGACTGATTGAGCAAACAGCTTGCCTTCTGAAAGACAACCTGCACCTGCTAGGCTAAGCAATGAAAGGACTTGGCTTTCAAATGGCAACTGCAGGCAAAAACCGAGTTTAAACAGCAACTGTGTCAAATCTCTGTGAAGACCGGGTTTCCGATTTAGGAGCCTGAGCTGCAGTAGAAACTGTCAATCTCCTGATGAAACAGTCACCTGCAGCTTGGTAAGTTTTGGGGACCATATCCCAGGTGCAAGTTTAAACTTTCATTAACTTTTGTGGTCACACTGAAAGTTCTGATTGTGTCCTTTTCTTCTGGAACACTGCATAATCAAGGACATTTTTCCTTTTTTCTTTTCTTCTTCTTCTTCTTCTTCTTCTTCTTCTTCTTCTTCTTCTTTTCTTTTCTTTTTTTTCTAAACCTGCTTCGTTTTCATCTACAAGTACTGTTTAAGCTGCTTTACATAATATGTTTTGGAACTGACACTTCGGATATCTTCTTCTTTGATGGTTCTTATTATTTGACTTCAACATCATTTCTTTCAACCCATTACATTTCATTACTTTATTACAAGTCCATTGAACTTGTTCATTCAATTGCATTTCCTCTCATTCCATCGTTTTATTTCATATATATTTTAAATTCATTACATTTCAGCCAATTCATTTTAATTTCCTAGTTGGTCGTCATTTTGTTGAGGTCTCTTCTTT